ATCAAGGGAAGCGTTATCCATTACTATTACCGAGTTTGGCTGGACTCGTGAAAGAAGGGATTCAAACCATCCTTCAAAGCGTTGGGCGTCCATGTCTTCGTGATAATACCTCGTTTTTTGGATAAAAAAATTAGTGCACTATTGTCTAAAAAGCCACTCTCGTTACCTATATGGGCGACAATTAGTTGTTACCCTTTACCCGTTGGTCCGCGTAACCCTTTTGATAAACCGTCCACAAATGCTTGACGATAACTAGTTACAGTAGTATCTTCCCAGATCTTAGATACTGTATGACCAGCATTAACCACGTTTCGTCCAGATAATAAATCTTTTTGCTCATTTTTGGAATGAGATCATTATACATTACCTTTGTCCTAATGGATTCAAGAGTTGGCGCTTTATTCACAAAAAAGAATGAATGAATGGTATAGCGTACAAAATTTTTCAATACGACAATACTTTTGGAGCTTGCACAATCCCAGTCACCTTTTCTTCACGTACAATGCATTCAATTGTCGACACGGATATTCCTGTTAAAAATGAACACTGGGCTACAGCTTCCACTGTACGGAGTGTATCTTTTAAATTTTCGTACACTCTACAGACGATTAGTTTTTCTTCTAACGACATAAACTTCCGTTTTGGACCTGCTACGGCATCCATCTTATCACTATAAAAATAATAAAATTCAACCATATTATTCAGCTATTTGTCAGTTGTTTACTTACCTCAAAAATTATTTTGGAGTTGATGTATTTTGAAAAACACTTTATTGTGAGATTTTCACTAGAACAGATTAACAAATTCGGAACACTTATATATGGGGTTCATATTTGGTGGAGGTACTTAACCGGGTACAAGGTATTCCCCTGTATATTATTCTGCCGCGCTTTAGTAAATCCCGAAATCCAGGCTTGGACTCCCCTATTAATATGGGTATTTTTTAGGAGAGGATAATTTTTTTGTTTCGTTTGATTTAATTATTATATGTAAGTAATTATTTTGAAATGGCTTTTTCTACCAATTTGATTCTGAACGTTACTTCTTTGTATGGTCTACACATATTTGTAAAGATTATATTCCAAACTTGATTTGGAAATTTCCCACTGTTTTATTTCTCTATAAAGTTGTAGAAGTGAAAAACGAGCAGTTTTTTTACCAAAAATCTCTCCAAAGTAGAAATACCATAAATACCATCTTACCTCTTACCCCTACTTATTGAGTGTCTCAACAGATATTTTTCACTGAGATTTGTCCGTTCAAAAATCTTGAAATCGCCAAGTCATTTCAGATGTCTCTGATTTTCAGATTGTTCAATTCTCATATCAGAATAGATAAATTCGAACTATAAAAACTGATTGAGCCGTTGAAAAATAGAGCCACCATATAACCAGTTTCGTCTTTTTGCGGACATGATCAATACAGGGTGTAATTCCTGTTTGAGAAACATTTTGAACATTTTTTGACAAAATTCCTCATTCTAGAGTGAATGGCTTACCTCAAAACGTTTTTGAAGTCTATTCAGACAATGTTTTTTTATTCCTCGAGTAGCAAGCACATGAATCACTAAGCACTTCACATGTTATGCTGAAATTGTCAAAGTAACTACATGCAACAAATGAGTACTTTGTGTTATATTGGATATTTCCATGACATTACAATCGGAGGGTGTGACAAAGTCATGTGAGGCATGAAAAGTAGAGAAACTTATTCTTTTGGAACGATAGCAAGATATAAGTGGCGTTCGCGGACGACAATATTCATAAGACATGAATTACGATATTATCGAATTGGAAAAGCACGTTGATTTTTCCAAAATAATAAAGATTATTTCGAAATGAATGATCAAAAAGCTTTTCCCTGGACAACGGGGCTATTTGCCAAATAACTGGAACTTTTATTAAGCAAGACTGAACAAAAGTGTTATACTTTTGATGTGCTATTGTATTATCATTTTGATGAATTTTTCAAAATAAGTAATCAATTGAAACAAATCTTCAACCCACCGATACCTACGATTTATATTTCGCTATGAAGAGTAACGGGAGGATAATGTCGAATGGTATTTATTACCCAGAAATCATCGAGATAAAATTAATATTTTAAGAATGAAGCAATAGATTTCAGTTCCATGAAAATTGAAAATTTTCGAAGTCAAAAATACGAAATAAGATCTCAGATATTAATATTCTGAAGATAAATTATCATGTTTAGAGTTATCATAGCACCTGCATATATTCTGAAATTTGCTGAGTTTCAGAATCATTGTATTGGGTTGTCTACCGTTTTTGTTTCCCTTTTCATTTCTTTGCTTCTTCTATATGATTTTTTATCTGTTTCTATTTTGAGCAAACCCGTCGTCTTTTATGGTATTGAATTCCATTCTATCATATTTCATCACATCATATTTTGTTATTTCATCATATCTGAAAATTTTGGCTTTCTACTACTCCATTTTGATACAAAAAAGTGGAAATCTTCCAAAGAAAGGAAGGAAGCAATCAACATAAAAAAATTAACTCTGTACAAAGATGTATAGATCATACAAAGGAGTAACTTTCAGATGCAAACTGAAAGAAAAAGCCCTATCGAAACAGCTATTTTCATGTAATTCATTGAATTACACGAAAGAATAATACTTTTATATGAACGCTGAATTACACGAAAAATATTTTTTCTATTCCGTTTGTATTCGAAATACTCGTAAAAATATAACCCTTTCATTTAATTTAAACAAGATTCCTTTGGCTGGGATTTATTCAAATAAGCGAATGAATGTTATTTACGTGCTGTCATCGAAGACACGGGTGGATTCGATCGATTCTGTGATAAGAAATACTCCTGATTTCAAGAACTAGTTGAATGTTTTTTCCTATAATATTATCCGTATTTGGTACTGAAAAGCCTATGAGGCAAACGAAACATCCGGGTGTCTACCAGTAAGGATGACAGTGTTTCATGTAAGTGAAATTTCACTTCTTTCATTAATTATATTGTGTAGGAATCCTGTTAATGAAATCCAATTCAATTCCATACTAATATTTGGAATACAAACGGAATAGAAAAGTATTTGTTTGGAAAGTATTTTTCTTTCGTGTAATTTAAGTTCTAGTCACTAGTATTGTAAATCTTCAACAGACGGCGCACGAATGTAAAATTCCTCTCAAACAACATAATAAAGTTTGAGGTCTCAAATTCTATAGTAATACCGAGATGCAGTAAGTCTCCAACAGAGGGCGGACAGTTGTAAAATTTGTTTCGAAGTAAAGAGAAAATTTGCAGTAATAATTTCAATAATTTTATTTTTCATTTTCATATAATTCTAATTTTTCGATTTTTTTAAATATTTGAGTAACTGAATTTTTTAGGTGTACAATTTACGATAAAGTTTTCGTTAAAATCCATATTCTGGTTTGCTTTCAAATAATCGAATTGGATTTTAAGATGTATCTTCCGTTTCGTTCAAAACTTTTTTCTGTACTGAATCACAGATCAAGCAATAATTGATAGTTACGTGCAGCGCCATCTGCCCAAGAAAAGATCAAGCAATAATGCCGACAATTCTGTCAATACAGATCCCGAGCTTCAGAGTTAGAAACAAACATACATACATACAAACAAACATACATGTGAAGCTAATATAAAGCGTGTAAAAAATGCAAACCCAATTTCGTCGACCTATTGGAACAAAAGAAAGGCTTGCTTTATGTTTAAGGTAAGTTTATTTTTATCTATTATTTGAATAATCAAGAACATCATTCATCAATATTCAAAAATAGTCCTGATATATTATGTTACCAATGTTCTTCCATGTTCGTTCTCGAATCACGAGACTCTGGACTGCCGATTGCTGGACTGTTGAATGGCTGTATGGTTGTGGGAGATTGAATAAACTCATGTGTGCTGCCTGAAAAATCATATAATTTTACACTTTTGCATGGCTGGATGGATGTAGGTGATTGGATAGGTTGGTAAGAACTCGATGGAATAGTTGTTTGAGATACTATTTTAAGTGGTGTCTTTAATACGTAACCTGTTTGAGTGAGTTTTCGAATTTCTGCTTCAGAAACAGCTGTATGTAAATCCAACTTTATTTTGCATTGATCGAATTTTGGAAGCGCCTTAACTGCCTTACTCATACTCAAAAAAAATAAGTCAGTATCATCCATATCTGGCTTAGCGTGTTGCCTTTGCTTTTTTAACTCATTTGACGACTTCATCAAGTCATAAATGTCTTGTAAGCTAGGTTTGTTATTCGCTGATAATGTTCGTTTTGACGCTGAGCTCCTTTGAGATCCATCACTACAACTAGCATCCGAACTTTGAGTTTGTAGAGGTTGCGATGCTGAGCTTTTTTGCGAGTCATTAACGTGAACGTCAGGGGGGCTATATGGAGTCATGTCTATAGGTGATTCTGGTGTTGGCTCTGCCAAATTAGTTTTGGTGTTCCTCGATTTCATGTGAGGGCGTAAAAAATTCATTTGCTCTTCGTATTTCCATGCTATCACTTGTGATGCGGCTTGTTCACTTTTTTTATTTTTACGGCATTTTATTGCGCTGGCATATGCATTTCTCAATTTTGTCCAGTTGTCTTTGCACTTTTCAACTGTAACAAAAATAACAACATTAAACATTTGTTCACAGATTTTTGACTACTGGAAACTCTTTTCGTTCTCTGCCATTCAGGTATCGTATGGGATTTACTACAGTGAGAAAGTACAAGAACTATGCTAAGCGATGTGGAAAAATATTACCTTTGCCGTACACAATTGTCGCTGATGCAGCGTTTCCCCTAAAAACTTATCTGTTAAAACCCTACAGTAAAGCAAAACTGGTGAATAATGATGCAAATAAAGTATTTAATTATCGCTTATCACGTGTTCGACGAACTGTGGAAAATGCATTTGGAATATTGAGAGCACGATTTCGAGTTTTCCAAGGACCCATGCAAGTACAACTCGACATGGCGGATAAAATCGTACAAACTGCTTGCACCCTTCATAACTACTTACGTACCCTAAACCCACAAGAACGCGAAGATAATTTGTTAAATCTACCTATAAACGATAACACCTCAGATTGTTTATCTGATATTGAGTTTAATGCCAGAAATCCATCTCATGACGGTGTTTACGTTAGAGAGAAATATAAAGAATATTTTTTTAGCCCAGAAGGACAAATACCATGGCAAATGGAATCCATCAGACAGTGTATAAAAGAATAACCAAGTTTTGTTTATGAATACCTACCATTGTGTCTATTATTTATGCCGTTTAAGTTCCTAAACAAATAAAAAAGATTAAAAACTCACCTGGTTCATTCAATTTTTGAGCAATTTCTTCCCATGCTATAGTTCTTATTAAGTGATCCTTGTATTCTTTACATTTTGGATTATACAACACTTCGTATTTTCTGACAAGTTCAATGAGTTCTTCCGACATCTTGTGCAATGCAAACGAATATTCCCTACTCTAGCTAGTTAACGCATCAGATTATAAACATACTAGTGTGGAGTGTTGTGACGCGTCATAACCCCACCATCGTTCTGATGCCGATCGGGAATCGACTGATCGCCGTCACGACAGATCGCGTCCCGACAGACTGCACTTCAGAAATATAATTCTAAACATACTAAATGCATGGATATGATATACTTGTGGCGCGTCACAAGACTCATTGGATATACACAGAAAAATGAACTAACGGATATCAAGATAATACACAAATTTCACAAAGTATTTGTCCAATTCACAGTAGGTAACTATTTCAGAAAAATGAAGCAAGAAAATGAAACTGGAAGTCTTATGTAAATACCAATATTGATGGGAAAACATTGAACTGAGAAAGATCAAAATATAATAGATTCCATAAACATACATCGAAATAAGTACAAAAACAATATTGCTATTGATTTTGCAATAAAAGGGAATTTTTAGGTAGCTCAAGAAATATCAAACGTATTTGGATTCATATTTTATAGTTACAGAACAATATCATGTTTGTTGTATCAATATTCAACGAAATTAAATTTGGCAAATACTTTTCCTAGGCATGTCGATATGAAAGTCACTTGTGATGTTTAGATCTGTAATAATATGTTTCGGCTCAGACAGTGTACCAACGTACAAAAATTAGGCAATTCCGATAAATGCTCCTTTCTCATTTATTTATTTTCTGAAATGAATTTTAGCAGCGCTGTCACCAGATGCAGATTTCTACGCATCAAATTTTGAATATTAAGGCAGGTCCGAAAAAGCGGTAGGGTTCGTGCCGATCGCACAAAGGCCGGTCTTTTGGAAACCTAACTATACCGTGTACCTTTTTGAGATGGTTTTCCTACTAGGTTCTACTCCAGAACGAGGCAGGAGACTAATACTTAAGGCTAAAGGCCTTTCAACTATCCTGAAATGGTGCGGGACTTACTCAAGTAGTGAGCTATTAAAACCAACAAGAAGCTTCAGATTAGGCGTATATTACAAAAGCAATAACTGTGTAGAAAAAATATAACATGAAACGTTCAACAAAACAATAAGCAAAAAAACGTAAGATCAAAATTTTTTTATCAGTAAAGCACGTCTCAGATAGCTAATTGTCAAACAAAAATTATCTCTTTAACAACTCGTGAAATGTTATATTTCTCTCATAAGGTAGAATTCCAATTTACACGAAAACCATTACTCTATTCGAGTTTTGCGGAAATTCAGAAATTATTATTTGAAATTGCCTGGCTTCAAACCCGTGCGTACTAATCGCTAATTACACATATGAAAGGGGTGTAGTGTAATTTGTTGCCCTTCTTAAATCGTCCCCAAGACGCAACAATAATAAGACAATTATTTCAAAACTAAAGTGGCAATTATTACTAAATTAAAATGGCATCCTCTCTCTCTCTCTCTCTATATCGATATGGGGGTTAGTAAAAAAATCCAAATCGACTCACGATACTATATTGGGTCCTGGTCTCACTCTCTGGTACAGTATCCGTATGAAATACACACCCGTTGTGAGTGCCACCAAACGCAACACCACAATCAACTCACTGCCCGAAATCTACCGAAATTCCACTATCGCAAAATTCCCTTTTTGCGACCCTCTTCTGCAACTGACTTTCGCAACTCCCTTTCGCGACTCTCTATCGCAATTCCTCTATCGTAAAAAAAAATCCCTTTTCGCGACCCTCTTCCGAAACTAACTTTCGAGACCGTTCCGCGACTCCCCAAACTGACTGCTCGCCACCGTGCCCATTCATCGACTTCCCCTCGTATTCACAAGTCCGAAAAATTGTTCCCAATACTCTTCCCTTGTACCGTCCCTTGATTGGTCTCCTCTTTGTTTAATATTCCCGAATTTTTCCATTACCCTTCCTACTCGAGACAAATCTTCTTTTCCTTGAAGTCATTGGTCAGTTTTTATTTCAAATACATTTTTGGACCCACCTATTCAGATATGGCCGAACTTCCTGTCCACGGAGCTGAAATGCAAACTCTTAGCTTGCATTTTTTCGCGTTCCCAGTATTATTACTTATCAACAGGATACGTCTGCTTAGACTACTTCGAAGGAAACATGATCCTCGTGATGCCGTCAAAGACCACCAACCGTGAATCAAATTCAACGCTCACTCTGTTGGACAAATATCGATATCGAAAAAACCGGGTGACCGACCTCGATCTTTATGAATAAAATTATATTTTTCGTTAATTATCGCAGTTATTACAGATCTTAGTTAGGAGAATGCTTCTCTTCTATATAAAATCTAGCACTATCAAGATATATAGCTTAATTCACGTGAGAAATATGAGCTCTATGAAGCGTTGAGTATTGCTAATTCAAAATAGTTTTCTGAGTGTCTGATAAGCTACCTCAACGATTACAGCAACATATTGCTATCCAATATAAAACTCGAAGAAGAATCAATTGAAGCAACCACGTAAATAACAAGTCCTAACAACAATACATTATGCACCATTTAGCATTTTGCAGAAAACTGTGTGCACTAAAATGTAGGTACTTTGTTTTTGTCACCCAAAGATAAAAATTCCTCCATCCCTTCAATATAATATTGGCGGATTGGCTGTCCTTGTTCATCTTTCATTGCCTGAACCACTGGTCATGCTGTTTTTGGCGAGTGCATTGGCTTGGGATGTAAGGGTTGAGGAAACCGGCCATCGGATGCCTGCTTCCACGTAGCCCCGCTGGATATGGGAATGACAGAATCACTTGTGGTTCTGTTATTTCCTAACTGAATGGCATCCCAACGATGGCTTAATCCTAATGTGTGTATATCCGTGCCGAGAGGATGAATGACACTGAGCCTATCAGCTGTCTCTACAGAACCTTCGAGATACCGGGCGCTCTCTAGTCGTAGCATCGCCTTGTCATGGTAATGTGGGGCTCTGCCGTGACTGACCCTCTTTCCCTAGCTACTCGTGGGACTTTTATGGACAGAGTAAACTTAAAAATCCTTTCTAACTCTACAGAATCTACAGTGGAGATGGATGTCGAGCTAACGACTCCAACTGACCTCCCTGTAAATTGAGATCAGGAGCGAGAGCTTCTCAATTTTTCAACTCCTGAACCAATAACGGAACCTAAAAAAAGTTTTGGTGGTTTAGCCAGGAAATGACTGAATCGTCCCCTCAAGAGCGGGGTACCTTATGAAACCGCCTTGCAACAAATACTCGAGCGGCGTACACAGAATCTGTCCCAGGTGGGGAAACAAACCCCCCGTGAGCAGGTTAGCAAACGTTTGCGCTCAAGTGTTGATTCATTAAAACCAGAGGCGAAAAAGCCCTGCACGGTTGAATCTAAGGCATACACCTGACGTGCAAAAACCCTCATATGGGAAAGTTGTCGCGGGTGAGAATCTTGCACCTTGACTATCCTACTACCTAATTAACCTAACCTAACCTAACCTAACCAATATGATATTAGATTGGTTCTCCCCGACTCTCTATAGTCGAGTCTTGTCATACTAAGGAATAACAGGGTTTTACCTTTTAACATGCGATGTATAGCACGGCGCAATCATTACGCATTCAACACAATGAATAATTCGTTGGCATTATGACAAATATCTGGAGTGCCCCATTATGTCAGTAGTGTGGTCTCTTGTTCTCAAATAAGAGAAATATATGTTTATGCTATTTTTGAAAAGCCCTGTGAATTTTGTTAATACTCGGGTGAGATTTCCTCAATATGCCTGTTAAGTCCTCCCTCCCTTTTACGGTTTGGGTTTTAAATCATGTCTTTATCTCAAAAGATGGTACAAAAGCTTTGGAATTAACTATTAGATACCCTTTATTAATGTATATACATTTGAGTATTTATAGTTCTGTATGACTATAGAATAATTACGATTAATATTGGATATTGACCCTTTTGCCCTGATTGAAGACTATGGATTCGTCTTAGCATGATTTGAATAAACTGAAACAATTCAAATCAAAAATTGACTTGTGTCAATTTATGCGTTACTTCATGAACGCACTGTGAGTTATGTCTGTGTATCTGTAGAGTAGGGAGGGTGAGTGTAAGCCCACAGCACTTAGGCCACATGTAACCCATTGTACATCCTTTTGTCTTCCCAGGTCATCGTCCATCCTGTCCTTTCCAGGAAGGTAGACAGGTCAGTAGGAGACATCTCCTTTATATCGGCAGGTGTAGGCTAAGACTCGCCGAACACAACTCTCTTATTGACGATAACTCCGGGCACTCGCATAGGACATGCCTGACAGTCTCATCTTCCTGTTCACACATCCTGCATAGAGGTGTGTCCAATAGCCCCATATTATGGAGGTGTTTCCTTTGTTGACAGTGGCCAGTCAGAAATCCTACTGTTAAGCGTAGATTTTTCCTGGTCATCGCCAGATATTTCTTCGGGTCTTTCCAGGGTCGCCCAAGGTGATCCTGGCAAGATTGCATGCTTTGATTGCATCCCATCTCTTCAAGGATTGAGCATGGCTGTAAAATTTGACTAATTCCGCAATTGTCGAAGTCATCAGGCCATAGGTGCCACTGGGTCCTAAGATTCTCAGTCCAGCGGCTTCCTTGCCTAAAGAGTCGGCAAATGCGATTCCCTTTACTCCTGTCGTGCCCTTTAACCCACCTCAGGATAATGTTATTATCTTCCGAGGCTTTGGGTAAATCTTGGTGACACTCTAGTACCTACTAGCCCTGAGGTTATACGTTGTCTGTTCAAGGCTTATTAGCCAACAGACAAGCCCTATTGGGCTTGTCTGTTGTCAGTGCAGATTGTTATGTTTTTGCCAGAATTTTTTTTCTTGGTTATTTCTTTTGTGGCGATTGAGATACCAGCCAGTTCCGTTTGGACCACGCTGGTATTTCTTCCCATTTGTATCACTTGTTGCCTGTTGCACAGTAAGTGCTTCCCGCCATAGGCGCAGCCTCAATTGACCCATTCCTACTTCGAGGTTTACACCAGCCGTTCGCAATCATACCATGGCCATTAACGCAACGTCGGCAGTGAGTGTTCCTTACACCATGTTTCTAATAATTTGAGCCCATCCTGTGCTCTATCGCACAGTGTGTTCACAAATTTGGCGATCTGCAAGATAACTATGTCA